CCAATTTTTAGTAACTTTCATGTGCATTAAACAATATTGTTTACTATTTAAAAAAAAAAAAAAAGAATATTAAACAGAAGCTGGGCACCATGGCTCACGCCTGTAATCCCAGCATTTTGAGAGGCCAAGGCAAGAAGATTACGAGGTCAGGAGTTCAAGATCAGACTGGTCAAGATGGTAAAAACCCCATTCAAACTAAAACTACAAAAATTAGCCAGGTGCAGAGGCAGGTACCTATAATCCCAGCTACTCAGACAGCTGAGGCAGTAGAGCAGCTTGAACCCAGGCGGAAGAGGTTGCAGTAAGCCAAGACTGCGCCACTGCACTCCAGCCTGGGTGACAGAGTGAGACTACATCTCAAAAAAATAAATAATAATATTAAACAGGCCAGGCATGATGGCTCATGCTTGTAATCCCAGCACTCTGGAAGGCCGAGGCAGATGGATGACCTGAGGTCCAGAGTTCAGGACCAGCCTGGCCAACATGGCAAAACCCTGTCTCTACTAAAAATACAAAAATTACCCAAGTGTGGTGGAGGCGGGGGGTGCCTATAATCCCAGCTACTCAGGAGGCTTGAGGCAGGAGAACAACTTCAATCAGGAGGTGGAGGTTGCAGTGAGCCAACACTATGCCACTACATTCCAGCCTGGATGACAGAGCAAGACTGTCTCAAAAAATATATAAACATATTGAACAAAATGAGTTTTCCATAGGAAAACCAACAGCTGTATTAAATTCTACCGTGATTATATTACATTTCAGATCTAGTGGGCAAAATCAGCCGTACCACTACCCTTCTGCATGGGGCACTTTAAATCTTAACAACCTTTTGAGATTTTCATACTCCTTTTTGGGAGGATACCAGCTTCTAAAATACCTGTTACAGACACTTAGGAATTTTGACATGATGGCACATCAGCCATCAGGTAGATGTGAAAGTTTCTAAGTGATTTGTATGTGACGGTTTATTGATGAAGGTTGGATAAGATTTAGGCCAAGAAGGAAGACTTAATGGTGAGAAACAGTGCCAAAGAAAATACCTCTTCATTCTTTGCTGAAATCCGCTGACGAAAACTCACAGGCTTCCTATTTTCATCCACTTCATAGTCCTCCTCATTCATCCATTCATTGAAAATATCAGTGTCCAAAATCCATTTCACATGAACCTAAAACCATATCAAAGCATGAATACCTACATAAATAATAAAATCACTCAAGGTTTTAAAGTACTGAAAAAGAAACAAGCTGATTATTTTTAAAGCCTAAAATGCATAAAACACATTAATAATGTAATACTACTAATGATATGTGAGTCGTAATTTATTCATCTCAATTTTTATTCCACATCTTTTACCAGGTAAAGAGGACAAAAAAGCATCACTAATTTATATTAGACTTAGATTTTGATAGCAAAGCTCCTCAAATTTGTTTTTCTTAATCATTTCATCTTTATGTTCATGAAAATCACTGATAAAAACATTCAACGGCACAGAGCCAAAATCAGTCATTGCTCTAGGCACAAAGGATGTCTCTGAGTTTATCAACAACACTCTAAGTGTTGATGAAAGGGTAAATTTGCAGAGGCCTATTACCTGCCCCAATAAGTACACATAGTGCTTACTGAGATCTTTCAGGGATAGCCAAGGCTGAGGTAGAAATGGAAAAGTGAGAGTCAGATGGTGGGTTCTTCCCAGTCCTTTATATGGCCACCTCCCTTGTTTTATTTCATGCTTCTGAGTAAGAATTAATAAAATGAAAAGTTGTCCAGATGTTGTACAAATGTAGACATATATATACAAATAGATAGATACCTAAACCACAGGCCTAACCTATGTAACATTCCACGTTATCCAACAGTATTTCTCAATGGGGACGTAACTGGAATTTGACACTAGACAATTCTTCCCTGTACAAAAAAACTCAAGTCACAGTGGGGTTTCAGTTGGGGTAGTGTTGGTTGAAATGAACATGAACATGCCCAGTCAGGAACAGATTACAAAAAAATCTATAAGCCTTCCTATAACACTGCAAAAACAAGATACACAGTGGCAATGACTAGAAAACAATATGAACGTCCTAGTAATCTGTCAATCTAAACTCCCTGTTTTGTTTTTGAAAGAGCTACTAAACTGGTTATTTGGGATATGCCTTTCATGCACCTTGAGTTAAAAATGATATCCATTTGACTACACACCTCCTCTCCCTTGAAAACTACAGTTACACAGTAATATACACAAACACAAAATTAACAGCCTGTCAAAGACAAATAAGGCCTCCAATAACGTAAGCTGAAAAGACTCCTAAATGGACAAATTATGAGAAGAGTGTATAAAGTACTGAGAAGCCTTAAGCTAATTAGAAAAAGAAAATAGGGCTGTGCTAAAGAAAAGGGTAAATTGACTAAGTGATAGCTCAGAAAATAAATGTCAGAATAATGTTTTCCGAAGTGTGAGAAACGTGTTTACGTTGCTTTAAAAAAAAAAAAAAAAACAGAGCTGAATATTCACACTGAACATTCTTTAACTATTGAGAAATTCTTGAAAGAAATCTCCTGAGAAAGCATGTTAGAAGGGTATATGACAGCTAACGACTGTTTGTGTCGGGCACTATGATGAACCCCTTACACATATAATCCTATTTAACCCTCCTAAGCACAGTGAAATAATGCAGGTATTATACTCTCTGGCTTTCCAAATCAGAAAACTGGGGTAAACAGTTTTAGTAAGCTGACTAGTTACACCCCTACTGAGGGGCAAAACTTGGATGTGCACTAAGTTCTGCCTGAACTCTCAAACTCTCTGCTCAATTATCTGAAAAAAAAAATCTTCATGTTAAAATAATACAAAAGTTTGTGTCCTTGGGTAAAACCATTTAACTTCTGGAGCCTAGGTTCCTTCCTAATAATGTGATACCACAGTAAGCTCTCCCATCATTCCCAGTCTTAAACTTCTGACACTATTAATCTACTGGGAAATACACGTCTAAAAATCCTTCAGTAGTACTTCACAACATTACATGGCTCATGGGTCATATAGTTTACTCCTTTACTATTATAGTATAATTTCAACACTTAATTCCCAAAATAGTTAAAAATAGAAAAATCTGGAAGAAGGGTACAAAGTAGTGCTTTGTTTTGTACTACTCTTGCAACTTTTTATTCTTTTTTGTTTTGAGATAGGGTCTTAATTTGTTACGAAGGCTGGAGTGAAGTCGTGCAATCATGGCTCACTACAGCCTCAACCTCCTCAGCTCAAGCAATTCCCTTGCCTCAACCTTCCAAGTATGTAGCCAGGACTATAGGACACTTGACATTATGCTTGGATGATATTTTCTTTTGGTAGCTCCAGCTGGTCAAGCAATCCTCCTGCCTTAGCCTCCCAAAGTGCTGTTATTACAGGTATGAGCCACCATGCCCCTTGAACTTTAAATTATTTCCACATCAAAAGTTGATTAACAAGTCAATGTACGGACTCTTACTATATTATGGTAGAAATGATTAATAAAGTAAGTCTGTATTATTCTAAAAGTCACACAGGCACTGCTTCCAAACTTCCCAAATGATATCATCAGTGATACTCGACTCCACTCCTCATGCTCCCATCTCACAAACCACAATCTGACCTGGCTTTGGATTCTCCTCAAACATCACTGCAGATATTTCATCTAAGACCTAGATAATAAAGTTTTCATGGCCATGCATATCTCGTAAATGGATAACAGGAAAGGGAAACCAACATTCTGTATCTCCTTAGAGAGACTGCTGTAGAGAAAAGCTGAGAAGAGCTATTAGATTATTATAAGAATTTTTTTGGTGGGGCACAGTGGCTCACACCTGTAATCCTAGCACTTTGGGAGGCCAAGGAAGAGGCAGATGAATCACCTGAGGTCAGAGGTTCAAGATTACCCTGACCAACCCAGTGAAACCCCATCTCTACTAAAAATACAAAAATTAGCCAGACGTGGTGGCACATGTCTTTAGTCCTAGCTATTTGGGAGGCTAATGCAC